GCGGATCTTTTGGGCAGGTGTGAATACAGCAATCACACTCGGGTGCGGACCAAACAACCGCACCGAGACCCAGCTGAAGAGGTTCCAAACGAACTCTGGTACGCTTGAGAGGATGACCTTAGGCACACGTGTGGTTTTGTTTTAGGGCTGGGTTTTGACACAAATTTCACGATTCGATTCTCATTCACAAGCTTGCGATTCGATTCGATTCAATATCGATTATTTTGGATACATATCAGGTACAGTACATGCCAAATTTTCTTAAGGAAAAAAAATCTCTCAACTAATGCTGTAAAATATACATGAGAGTCAGTTAGTACTACATTATAATATTGAAGGTTAAAATTGACTGATTTGTGCTGTAAAACTGCTTAAATTGCACTTAATTAAGTTTTTATAATAATTAAGTTACAATTACTTCAGTTAGTTTTTTTAAATATACACATTTAAATAGTGGCTGTCATAAAAACTTGGACGGATTTATTCAAACATAAATAAAGCAATAAAGAACGGTAAAAATTTAAATGAATGTTATATGGTGCATATATTTAGCAAAATGCTCCTCTCTACAGTTTATTTTTCTGGATGACTGTCGAGTTTATGGTCACCAAATATGCTTTCTGAGGTAAATGTGACATTACATGAATTGTTTACAAGCCGTTATATTGACGTCTTTGCGCGGCTGAAACACTGATTGCGCGATTACATGAGACAGGATACGGATTGTTGTACTCTTTCTTTTAACTTACCTTCGGATGTTTAGTCATGTTTATTTTGTGCTGAAACTGGTTTAATGTGGAGGAGATGATTAGTTCACGTGCGCCTCGCTCTGCCGCGTCTGTTGAACTGAGGCGCTACAGCGATCTGTCACTCCACATTTAACAGCGCCAAAACGACATTTATTGTTTGAATACTGCAATACAATAGACATAAATTGAAATCTGAGACTTTGTTTCATATTTAAAGTACCAACGCACAATGCTTATTGCGATTTATTGGATGGGAAGTGCCCTTTAATGTTCCATCCATTAACTGAAAACAGGCAAGACTAATCGATTCTTGGGATTTAAGAATCTATATCGTTTCGTAAAAATGAGAATCGATTAAAATCGAGATATCAATATTTTTTACTCAGCCCTATTTTGTTTACAATTTCTGGTTCACTTGCAAAAAGGGCAGTGTGAAAGTGAACCACACCAAACAAAAGAAAAATCAACGTTGTATTTGGTCCGGACCAAAGCAAGTGAAATAGAGGACTTTCCTGGTGTGAATACACCCTAAAAAAATGGCGTAGAAACAATTTTCACTCAGAAATTCCACAAATAATTACAAATATACAGCAAGTAAAACTTTAAATTAAAAGTAAAATTTTGAAATAGAAAAACTGAAATAGTATTTCTTATTAAACATGCTCTAGTAATCTTTGCTTCATTTACAACTTTCAGAAATTATTTTTTTACTGTGCATTTTTTATAATTACTAAGGATTTTTGGATATTGCTCAGCACAATGCCAAAGAAACACCAAACAGTATTGATTTTCTCATTAATCCTAATTTGAATGATCTTGATATTATTTCTTAAAATCCCAAATATGATCTTTTTATGCCTATTTTTGGTAGTAGCATGAAAATGTATTTGTGCAGCACCTTCCATATTGCAGATTTCAGTTTGCAGTCTGTATCGAATGTCATACATGTTTGCTGATATTGAAAAAGGTTAATATATCATATTTTAATGAAACTTAACTATTGAAAATATATATATTTTTAATTTATACACTACTGTTCAAAATTGTGGGGTCAGTAAGATTTTTTTTT